AACAATTTAAGCATATTAGCAATCAGCAAATCAATTGGCATGTGCATCATGTCCTCTGATTTGCTGACTGCATTACAATATACAGAATTGCATTACCTAAGATGTAATTTATGTGCAAGGCCAATTCAGATTCACGGTTTTCTTTATTGAAGTATATATTCTTCAAAAACTTATTTACATTGATGGTCACAGGCAACTTACAGGCAAGTGGTTTTTTAAGAAATGCAGACAGATTACTAATCTTCTTCGGTAAAGTATTAAAGGGTTTTAAAAGATCATTGCAAATCTTTGCACTTCTGGCACCTTTTTGACTAAAATGTCTTAGTGCTTGTATCTTTATCCTTTCATTTCCTCTTTCCTAAGGTATTAGTTACCTTCAGTGCCAGCCTACAAATGATTAGCTTCTCTTATATCAGCTTTTATAAAAGAAAAATTATATAAGTGGAAATTTACAGAAAGAACAATAAAACAAATAATTGAGGTAACAAGATGCGAGAAATCTAAATTTCTTTATTAACAAAAAAACCAATATAGAGAAATCTTTTTAAGGGTAGAGGGTATTATTTTAAAATTATATATAAACTTAATGGCAAATTTTTTATATTTAATTTTATAAAAAATTTTGAAAAAAACTTTGATATGTATTTAAAAAATATTGTTAAATACCGCAGGTTGCTATATTGCAGATTAATATAATTGACCAATTAGATCACAGGATCTTGTATAATAAAAATTAGCAAAAAATTAGAAAACTTAAGAAAAAAAATTAAAATTTTTAAATATCTCAAAATAAGTTCTCTAATCCCAATTTTAATACTAGCTTGAAAGTTGACTCTAATTAATAATAATTTAAATTTTTTTAAAATATTAATTTGTGATATCACAACCTGCTAAATTTAACAAAAATCTATTTAAATATATTTTTTTATAAAATATAATAGTTCAAAATTTACTATAATAGATAAATAATTTTATCAATATATATAAAAATTTGATAAAAATTAATTGTAATTTGAAATTAAATTATTGTAAAAAAATTTATAATATTTTTGATATCTATATTTATAGATTTATTTATTTGAATTTATTGTATATTTGCTTATTATTTAAAAATTTTTTAATTATATAAAAAGATTTGCAGTTTATTAAATTTGATTTATATTTAATTAAACTTTAAATTAAATTACAGTAAAAAAAATTTATCTCTTAGATTGTAGATTAACGCAAGCAAATTTGCCTGTGTTGGTACTATAAATATGCTGCTGATCTATTTTTTTAACAATTTAGAATATTCAAATAAAATTTGGTATAATAATATTTGAAAATATAGATTACTTTT